CGATGTCTGTGGAGTGTCTGGTGTTTACTGTCGGAGTCATCGTTCAAATATGTTCAAACCATGTTTGGCAGCAGTTTGCTGTTGGCCGCTTTATTGGTGGCCTGGGAGTTGGGGCGCTCAGTGCTGCCGTTCCAATGGTAAGCGCTCTGCGACCATTAATGTTATCCTTGTGTTCTGATTTGTGCAGTATCAAGCAGAGACTGCCCCTCCTCAGCTCCGTGGTACCTTGACGTAAGAAATACATACTTCAGTGCCATATATGACTGACTTCCCTATTTCTTAGGGCGACATACCAGCTGTTCATTACGTTCGGCATCTTAGTGGCTTGTGAGATTATGCATATCCAAATTCATTACAGCTACTGATCTCCTTGCCCAGACTGTATTTCCATTGGAACCCGAAACGCCTCTGGATCCGCTTCATGGCGCATTGTCGTTGGTATCGGCATAGTGTGGGCACTGATTCTCGGCATTGGTATCCTCTTCATGCCCGAAAGTCCTAGGTTAGTATCAACAATGTAGTTTCATTTTTCACGCCTCTAATCATTCCTCTAGATGGCTGGCCGCGCACGGCAAGATGGAGGAAGCCCAGAAATCTCTCGCACGTAGCCGCGGTATCCCCAAGGAAGAAGCGCAGGGACACTTCATCATCCTTCGCGAGGTTGAGGAAATCAAATCTTCTGTTCAATACGAAAAGCAAACTCGCGGAGGATGGATCGATTGTTTTAGGCCAAAAAACAAGACTCTATACCGTACCCTACTTGGAATGAGTCTTCAGAGTCTTCAGCAACTCACTGGCGCCAACTACTTTTTTTACTATGGTGCATCCGTGTTCAAAGCAGTGGGTCTCAGTGACTCGTTTGTGACTCAGATCATCCTTGGTGCTGTCAACTTTGTCTGTACGTTCGGTGGGATGTATGTGCTCGAAAGGGTTAGTGACTTCAAGTGCATGGTCGCGTTTCTCACCTGTTTTCTAGTTCGGGCGTCGCAGACCCCTGATCATCGGAGGGGTCTGGCAGTCAGCATGGCTTTTCGTTTTCGCCTCCGCCGGAACCGCAGTGGATCCTACGACTCATACCAACATCGGGAAATGTGAGACGCCACCCTATCTGCGAATCGTATCACTGACATTCCAATCTTAGTGATGATTGTGGCGGCCTGCATGTTTATCTTGGGTTACGCGATGACTTGGGCTCCGTAAGTACTTGCATAGTCCAGTGAGACCTTGCGATTGACATTCTGCAGTGGTGTCTGGATTTTGATAGGAGAGACATTCCCTACACGAACCCGTGCAAAGCAAGGCAGTTTGTCGACCGCTTCCAATTGGGTTTGGAATTTCCTACTGGCATTCTTCACCCCTTTCATCAGTAGTGCCATAGGCTACCGATACGGCTATGTCTTTGCAGGTATGACTTCCCTTGTTAACAACGCAATACCCACCTGAGCACTTTGGTTATCTGATATTCAGCGTGCAACTTGGCGGGAGCCGTAGTCGTTTATTTTTTCCTGTACGAATCATCTAATCTTTCACTAGAGAGTGTGAACACGGTACGTGTCCCCTCTTTGCGCTGGCCTATTGATCTAAGCGTGGTTGACGTCAGATGTACACGGACCCTGATTGTAAACCTTGGACTTCCAGCGAATGGGCTCCAATCGGATTTACCTCGCGTCAGGATCTCGTAGAACAGACTAGAGCTGCAGAGGCGCAAAAACCTCTTGCTTCCAACGGAGTTGAGGAAGGCAGGGTCGAGAAACGCTCTAATTCATCTGAAGTATAAAATCGAATGATGGACCGGCATCTTCTTTGAATCATGGTATTCTCCTATAACATTGAGCTGAACATGTGCATTTACATTAGTTATCTTTGTTAATGATCTATTTCCCTACGATGTGCGCGTTTGTCCTTGCATTTCGGAATGCTAATTCCTTGATCATCGCATTGCAGCCTGAGACAGCAGGGAGACGTCACAAGTTGACGATTGTCGAGGTAGTCGAGTATGTAGGAAGTTCAAATGAGGAAGACAGTTGTTCTTTCTGTATTACATAAGTCACACTACTGTGAGACCAGGTCATCAGGAAGACGTAATTCACTACGGCACACTACAGACTACTACAGAGTACTACAGAGTACTCTGTAGTAAAATCCAACTCACTGATGCGTCTGTAAGTACTACATAAGTACACCATGGGCATCAATCGAGCTAGCATGCCAACACAGGAATGACTCACAGAGAGTTCGGGTACATGCCTACTACTTACTTATTAACGTTGATTTACAGCTGAGGCGAGCAAGGTCTCCCTTGCCACATCATACGTACTTACACGGGGTGCTTACACGAATCCCAGTCGTGCACATGTACAAGAGCACCGCTCTCATATCATAGAGCTGTCGGGGTTTTTCAATGGTGCGTGATCGAAATCACAATAGACCTCCTTCTCGTGACGATCCTAACACTCCGCGCTTCACGGGAGAAGGTTCAAAAGGATATAAAGACGACTTCTTAAACCGAAGCCACCCCATTGAATTGATGACGGGAAAAGGATGACTGCCCGCGGCTGATATATAAATTAAGAACCGTTGGTGGAAACCTGACCTTCGTGTATCGACCCACCATCGCTCATTTTTCCCTTCCAAAAATTGTACCATCCCCTACACAAATATGCTCGCTCCTTCTGCTCTCCTCATCTCTCTCGTTGCATTCGTTGCTGGCACTAGTGCCGTACCCACTTTGTTTGCCCGTGACAACAGTACGTGCAGTAGTTCGGGCGCACAGTGCAACACGGGCACTGTCTCGTGCTGCCAAACGACATATCCAGTACGCGGTTCCTTTTTCATCGGTATTGGCTTATCTTAGACATCCAAACAGTCCAACAGCGATGCGCTGTTCAAGATAACAGACGCACTGGGCATTCAGCTTCCTTTCGACTCCGAGGGCTTTGTCGGCCTCGGCTGCAGTCCCATTAGCGTCATCGGCGCCGGCAGCGGCGCGGTGTGTACACAACAGCCCGTCTGTTGCAGTGGCAATACATATGTAAGTTGATTGCTGCCCTGCCCGCTCGCCCTGATATTCAGGTTCTTGTTTAGTACGGCCTCATTAACATTGGGTGCTCGCCGATCAACATTTACCTGTAATTGGAGAGAGAAAACCCATGCCTCCCCAGAGTGCTTTACCCCACCGTCATCGACTCGTAGTTCGCATGTCCTAAAATAATTCTGTTTCTTGTGTTGCCGCTCTAGTTTGAATCATCTATTCATCGAAAGCAGAAACAAGTGTCAGGTCTAATACCAACTTTGAGTGGAATCTGATGTGTGCCGATTATCGCGTTGGCATTCGGCAGAACGTTGTCTTTGGGTAACGAGTCAAGAGGGACGTGTCGGAGCACACGATCGGCTTCAGCCCTCGTACTGACAAAACGTATCTGCAGGGTCAGGTAAGTAATTTTGTCCAGCAATGTACGGCATGATGCCGTTTATGAACACTTGATCGCTGATTCGTTGCCGGCATCGGTGTTTTCTTACCTGGACTGTGCAATCATGTCTTCCTACGAGTAAGGAATATGAACAGCACTTGTATTGCTTGTACTCGACAGTGCTCGCCTTGCTTTGCAAGGTTCCGACAGTACCAGCGGTATGATAAATAGATGGGCATAGACATGAGCGAACTATTCGTAAGTACCAAGTGGAAGCTGGAATGGGACGTTGATGTGGATCAATAGAATAAAACTGGAGAGAACTGCAAGGATGAAACATACTCTGGGAAGAAATGGTGCAACAGCCATTATCAACGTTCAAGATACCACCTCTCCTCGACCCACTCAATAGTCCGCGATGTGTCACTGTTCGGTCATTCCACTCAGAGGTTTAGCTATTGACGCAGTTCTCAAGAGTAACTGTTTCTGGGCAGTACGTGACTGCGCCGTTCAAGTCCCCAGTATCCTGTGTTCCAACCGCTATCAGGAAATCTCACACTCTACGTATTGCACTCACCGTCACGTAGGGACAAACGGTCTCCGTCCCAGAGCTCTCCTTATAGCTACACACGGTGATGAGGAACTGAGTAACTCAAGGTCGCGCAGAAAACGCACATGCACATAGTAATACCTTCATCCGTTGCTTGGGCCAAAGCAAGTTTTGCAGCGCCACCGTCTGTCCGTATGTTTTCTGGACAAACGGCGCATTGATATTCTCGTACACTTTCTGATCCCGTCTGTCCACGAGAGAAATGCTCTGTAGCTGAAGTGGTTGGAGGTCTACCCAGTACAACACCGAAGCAGAAGGACGCGAGAAGGGAGAAAGTCAGCATCCTGTGGTGTCTTGCTCAGATCAAAAGACGGGACCTACCTTGACTTTTGCATCGGCTACATCCTTTTATCCCGTGTCTAATTGACTCCTGGACTAAATCCAACCCTTGAGCAATGGGCATTGAACATGTTTCCCTAGTGTAATAGTCTCGGCTGCATGTGACGGCAGTCCTATAATGCGCCCTGCCGGTTTTGGTAGTAGAACAATAGAAATATAACACCGGGGCATGTTGAATCGCATGTCAACCTTGTGATAAAAGAAAGAAGTAAGAGGGAAGGAATGGAAATTTGAGATCCGGGGGGAGTCGTGCCTAGGTCTTAATTCTTGTGCGTTGCCAACAAACGCCTCCATCACATTCGCGGCGTACCCTGGCGTACCCCGTCTCGCATCCCCATCTCGTACCCACAGACATGGATGATGTTATATTGGAACCTCGAATGTGCATTGGTAATGTCACGATAGCAGGATGATCCGGCACGCGCACAAGATTGGCTAGGCGAAATCAACGTTGTTGACAGGGTAAAGTAGAGAAGATTTACATAAGTATGGGAAGGATTTTCCCTTGGGTGCCCGGGACTGCAATACCCCCTAGACGATTCGGATCATGATGGTATCCCAGTCAGACCGACTTGGATTCTGTTCCTCGACATTGCTTTATGTGATGTGCAAAAAGGTCGCCTGAAGAGGTAGAAATCATGTGCATTGACCGAGAGTCGAACTCGGAGCGCGGCCACCCTGTTGGGAAGACCGCATGTTACCGCTACACCATCAATGCATTCTAGCAAATGACGTACATGACAATAAATTAACAATTCGGTTCCAAGGGGATGTTAGTTCTTATTTAATTAATTTAATTTAATATTCTATGACTTGACTGCCGATCGTTGCAGGGTATGTAAATCTACATCACCACCATGAGCGCACCTTCAAGCCACCAACCGGACACGAATTCAAAAAGGAAACCCCATGTCATTGTCACGATTGGAATGGCAGGGGCTGGTAAATCCACCTTCGTGCAGCGCATCAACTCCTACCTCCACTCACAAAATCCTCCACAACCGCCATACATCCTAAACCTCGACCCCGCGGTCACTCATCTGCCGTTCGAAGCTAACATTGATATACGGGATACTGTCAATTACAAAGAGGTCATGAAACAGTGTGTTTCAGTTTCCATCTGCACGCTAGTGCACGAATAACAATGGGTCACTGCGACAAAAGGTACAACTTGGGCCCGAACGGTGGTATTCTGACTGCCTTGAACCTTTTCACGACAAAATTTGACCAGGTACTGGATTTGGTGGAGAAAAGGGCCGAGACGGTTGAGTACGTGCTTGTTCTTTCAATTGTGCATCCATTCTTACTCCTTGTACGTTCATGTAGCCATATAATTCTTGACACACCAGGTCAGATTGAGATCTTCACCTGGTCGGCGTCTGGCGCTATTATCACAGATGCCGTTGCTTCCTCATTTCCCACTGTGGTGGCATACATCATTGACACCCCACGGACGACGGCTCCCGCCACATTCATGTCCAATATGTTGTATGCATGTAGGTGAGTACCGTGTTATCGACATTGGGTTAGTAATCCGTGACAATGTCCTTCGTCAGCATCATGTACAAAACCAAATTACCATTCATCCTTGTATTTAACAAGACTGACGTGCAACCCCACAATTTTGCTCTCGATTGGATGCAAGATTTTGAAGCATTCCAGCTTGCTCTTGCATCGCATTCAGGGTCGAGGGACTCCGAAGGTGAACCAACCTACATGAATAGCTTGATGAACAGCATGAGCTTGGTTTTGGATGAGTTTTACAAGCATCTCAAGGTAATTACATACTTTTCGTCTCAAATCATAGCTCCTATCCTACACTCTACTACTACAGGCCGTTGGTGTCTCAAGCATGACAGGTGACGGTATCAAGGAATTTTTCGAAGCGGTAGAAGAGTCTCGTGAGACATATACATCGTACGTTTCGTCTTCATTTTCGTTTTCCGTTTTCTTATCTCCGTGTTAGTGAATATCTCCCAGAACTCGAACGCGCTCGTGCTGCACGGGATAAATCACTACAGGATGTAAAAGAAGACTCAATGAACCGCCTCATGAAAGATCTTGCTGTTGATCGCGCCAGGAATCCCGGCGCTGCAGAAGAAGACCGCTGGGCGTCGGACGAGGAGGATGAGGATGAGGGCGATGATTTGGATGTCAACCTCACCGATCGGAGTGAGTGTTTTTCCTGTCATTTTATTTGAGTTCTGAAACCCGTTTTGCTAGGCGAAGATCCCAGGGCGGGTCAATACATCGACGTCACACGAATGCGAAGAGATAATGAGAATATAAATTGGCCGAGGCCGGGCTGAGGCTCATTACTGGACGCGCGCACTCAAATAACTTCGACATAATGTACTCTACCACATGTAAGTAGGAGGAATATGCGTCCATCAAACCTCTCGATATTTGAGGGATAAGAAATATTGCTGTCATCCCGCGCACAGCCATTTACATCGCAGGAACACCGGAGGCACTGATAAGCCAGCGTCAAAAAATGGTTTCATTTCAAGGGGGCAATGTAGATAACATGTAGCGACTGGCCCAGAACGCCCCACAATCTTTGGACTGCTGCTCCTTCTCCGCATGGCCTCCACGTCACTTGCACTTGATTTAAGCGACCTCGCCGCTACTCGCCCATCAAATGCTAGACAACTACACAGGCACTTATTGACTGCGAACGGCTGCTGAGAGTGGTTGGGATGGGAGTTCACTCTGACAAGGATAGTGCGGTATGTAACTTGATATTAGTTTGCCAGGTCCTTCGAAGTCGATTCATGGAATGACGAGCTGTGGATTTCAGGCGTAAACGACTACGAATGCGTATTCCACCTATGACTGAGCCTCGACGTGCGCTTCTGCATTGGATTCATTTGCCATCAGTAACTGCACAATTCCGCCGGAGTTCATTGTCGTTGTGCCTTGCCTGAGGTTACATTGGTTAACTTGCAGCGTCTCCAGGGCCGATTATTGGACAATGATATGTCCAGGAAGAACGGCAACGGTAGAGGTGCTCGACATGAGATCACATTTGCCCGAAAAAACACGATGGTCCCGAAGAAAATGAAAACTCGTTCTAGCTCCACAGCTCATCAGCCGGCCACTGGATACTCACTTATCAATGGATCTTTTACAGTCTCAAAACGCTTGCCCTTTCTGCCGCTGAGAGCCGTTATCATGCATGCAGTCATGTGTTTTCAGCAGGCATTTGTTTCGTAACTTCATCAAACATTGTTCATGTTGATATACAGGTGGGAAGCAGCTGAGATGAGTACGAGAAACTGTTACCTCACAGTTCAATACCGCGGGGAAGAATACAGGTATGTATGTCGAGAAAGCTTGCATTGTCAAAAATACTGAAATTTACGACCGAAGTGGCGCCATGACCTTCAACAGCGCTACGTCTTGGAAGCAACTTTTCGAAAAACTCGTGAACATGCCTTATTTGCACGGAGCTCTTGCTCGGAGTCGCAGACCATCCTCAACTGAAAATGAACCGAGGCTATGCGGGAACAGCATTGTTTCCTGCGCTCATAGTGACGTCGTGTGATGTTTATTAAGCTCAGCCCCATGATGCCAAGGAAGCCTCTGAGCGGCTGGAGTTGACTGCATCAGCTAGGTCGCAAGGCCCAGGACTTGAAGTATGTATGTTGCTTCAAATATCACGCGCCCATATCCGTGTCATCTAAGTTAATTTCCAGGCTGTCGGAAGCCGTCATGATTCACGGCGACATGACCTCCCCGGTGACGATTTCACAGGAGGAGCTCATGGGAAGGAGACTATTGTTATGAGCCTTGACAACCAAATGACGGACAGCACGATGATAGAATACTTGCTGGTATTATTCCAGCCACCTCGAGAGCTCCGGTCCGACGGGTTCTCCATTGGACATACCGTGCGGAAAAGGGGTTCGTTGAGTGCGAACGCCTTCGGGAGTACTAAGGGTATGGAAGAAAGCGCAAAGTAAACCCTATGTCAATCAAAATGCGTTATGATGCGCAGTACGATCTTCTAGCAATGGAATTAGACGGATCCGATGAATAATAAATCATCGATGGTTGACAAGAATTGACAAGTCTAATAATGTGGCAGTGTCGCATTTTGCCGAGGCTCTTTATATCACATCGACCTCAGTGCACAATCCTTGTCGCTCCATTCCACGTCACGCCTCACACCGCCAGTCTCGTTCTGTTGACTACGAGCGCTTGACTTCGTGAATCTTTATCTTAGCAATAATCAGCTCGTGTAGTGACGAGGTTGGCGAGCTCGTCTTTGCTTGTTCTTTCAAGTTGTGTCCCCCGCTAGGTTTAGACACAGTTTCTCTTTCATCCACGCGATAAACGCTCGATTAATACCGATACCCGCTTTTTCCAGTCAACAGAAGTATTTCGGATTGTGCACTTTTCTGAGGCATGGATCGGTACGCACCTCGCTTCATGCCCACAGTAACCAATTAACTTTTGCCGAACTATAGCTACGCAAAAATTGAGAAAGTTGGTGCGTGCCACCCGTGTGTTTACATCAGACTACCGTGAACTGGTGTGGCGCGCGTTGTAGGGGAAGGTGCGTCCGCAGTCTAGTCACTCCCTCTGTTTACCGCTCATAGTTATTCGCGCGCTTAGGCACATACGGTGTTGTTTATAAGGCGCGGGACGTCACAACGAATCAGATCGTAGCCCTTAAGAAAATACGACTTGAAGCCGAGGATGAAGGGGTCCCGAGTACTGCCATCCGAGAAATCAGTTTATTGAAGGAACTCAAGGATGACAATATCGTCAGGTACGATGTGTTACGCGTTGTCAGCCACTCATGATGACTAAGTGCCTGAGTTAGATTGCTCGATATTGTGCACGCTGAGCAGAAGCTTTATCTCGTCTTTGAATTCCTGGATGTAGACTTGAAGCGCTACATGGAAAACGCCAATTCAGCCGGTACGCCTATTGCCATCGGTATTGTCAAGGTGAGTCAGAAGTCGCAATGGTTCCTTATCGGCCACTCGCCTCCATTTACGCGATTTGTGACGCGTGGTGGATGCATGTTTCGCTCTTCGACGCGTCGCTTGATACGAATGTGTTAATTAACTGCGCATTTCACCCTTAATTCCACGCAATGACATAGTCGCATCGATTGTTTTGATAGGGGGCGAAGCGGTGGTCACGTGATTCTGCATTCAGACTGACTATCACATCACAGAAATTCACTCATCAACTCAATGCCGGCCTTTTGTACTGTCACTCGCATAGAATCTTGCACCGCGACCTCAAGCCTCAGAATCTGCTTATCGACAAGAAAAATAACCTCAAACTCGCAGATTTTGGCCTCGCGAGAGCGTTTGGCATTCCGATGAGAACATATACCCATGAGGTAAATGAGCACTCATCTTCCCATTTTAGGTGTGACATCGTGAGCTGAACATTGATCTACTCCTTAGGTGGTAACATTATGGTACCGAGCGCCTGAAGTCTTGCTCGGTTCTCGGCACTACTCCACGGCTATTGACATGTGGTCTGTTGGGTGCATCTTTGCGGAGATGGTGATGCGTGGAAGTCCCCTGTTCCCTGGCGACTCTGAGATTGACCAGATCTTTAAAATCTTTAGGTGATATCCTACACAGTCAGATTGACGAATCCACTGACCCTAGACCTTTCGATCTAGGATCCTGGGCACACCAAGTGAAGAGACTTGGCCGGGTGTCACTCAGTTACCGGACTATAAGGATA